GTACTTGGGTGGCCGTGACAGAAGCGTCTCGGCCCGGGTGAGCCGCCATCGCCCTCCCGGCCGCTGAGGGCAGCCCGGCAGAGCCCTAGTGCCCACCCTGGCGTCCTCCAGGTGTTAAGCCGAGCTGGCGAGGGTGAAGTCGGTCTGGGAACAGACCTTTCCGTCTAGTGAGAGACAGTTAGCATTACCTCTGGGCCGTGTCAGTGTTGGGTATGAAACCTAAGGGTTCAGGGCAGGGGAAGGTGGAGGCTGGAGAGTGGGACAGCAGGAGCGGTATAGCTAGAGCAGAGCCTCAGGAGTACAGGCAGAGGGCTTAGGGGCAGAGTAGTAAAGGTACTTTGAGCAGGTCCCATGTTCTGTCTTCATCTTAAGCAGAAAAGTTTTTTTTTTTTTTTCCTCCAGCAAAATCAGGGAACACATAAGTTGCCTAGAGAAGTGATTTGTTAAATGCAAGCTAAGGGGAGAACATAATGCTGCAGCTTCAGATATACACAAGAAACAGGTATTTCTTTGAACGCAGGTCACACTTTATTCTGAAGTCTGCTTGCTGTTATTCCAGCCTTAGCACAGGGACAGGACACAAGTTACCAAAATAAGTTACATTAGAAATGATTACAAAGCTTTTTTCTGGGAAAATAACCAGCACCTATCTCCCCAATTTTAATCACCATGGCAGAGTAACTCCTGGCAAAAGCTGCCTCAGCTGCCCACAATAGCTGTGAAGTGTTTTACGCACAAGAGTTACTCACACACAAACAAATGATCCTTGAAGTAATTTCTGTGACTAGGAAAGACAATCCCATTGCAATTGGGCATGCCTAAAAGAAAAATCCCACCTTGCTAAGTGTTTCTCTATGAAAGAAAGTTTGGCCGATGCATAAAGAGAAGTCTTTGAGAAGCAGTCTCTCACCCCAGCTGTTCCTGGTCTCCTGCAGGCCTGAGCCTCACCAGGCAGGCAGGAAGCCATGTCGGTAACATTTTTAAACTTGAAGGAGGGAAACAGTATCAAAAAAATCAAGCGCACCATCCTCTCAAGATCTCCGTAGCTTGGATGAATTAAAAACAAATCCAACATTAAAAAAAGTTGAGACTTCTCTCCCACAGCTTGTCTCAGCAAGAATTAGCCAGACATACGGCTGGGCAGATTTAAAAAGCTGAAGTACAGGTTCCCATCTTCCCTTTCAGTGCAGCAGCATGGTTAAACCACAGTAAATCAAGATATGGAATCACCCCACTGTGGTTATCAAGCCTCCTTGCAAACTACATCTTACTGTAAACTCAGCCCAGGGCAGGGAGAGAACAGGAGGCTCTCTTGGAACAATGGGCAGTTGGACACTCGATTAAAAGATGAAGTGCTGTTCTAGCCAGGGAGCCTTGGCCAGAACAGCTGGAATTTCAGAGATCTTCCTGTGGCGCATTAGTTGTCTCCTTTGCAGCCAGTGCCACCTCTGTGTCTTTCTCTGCCTTTTCTTCCAGCTTCTCCAGCTCTTTATACTCTTCCTCTGGGATCCTGTTTGCTCCCTTTGGTTCTTCAGGTGTCTGAGCCACCTCCTTGGGTGGTGTAACCTTTTCCACTACAGGTGATTTTATATCAGTCACCATATCTTTCTTTTCCTTCCTGCTATCCTGTGACACTTTAGCTATTGCCCTGAAGGGACCCACAAGCCAGTTCAGAGGGGTGTTCTGAGTTACATACTCAAAGAGGTCATCTAGGGACGTTTGGGCTTCTGCCACACAGTCCTGGCTCTGGGTCAGGGTGGTGCTGGAGAGGTCCTGGAAAGACATAGCACTGGAAAAAGATCTATGGAGCTTGTGAATATTTCGAGTCGCCTGATACACAGCTTCTTGGATGTTGCTGGGGAGGCCTTGGATGCTGGCTCTCAGATTCTCATAAACAGGTTGTAGTTGCTGGGTGATGATACGCAGCATAGCTAGAGTCCGTGACTCTACCTGCTGGGAAAGAGATATAGCTCAGTTACTGGAGCAGATGAGATGTACACCATCCACCAGAGGCCTGGTTAAATATGCCCTTCTTAGGGATACCTCTACTTGGGAGGCAGTTTTAACTTGGTTTCCTTTGGGTTGGGTCAGGCTCCAGTCCACCCACAGTTGATACAGCTTCTCCTGCCCATCTAGAAGCTTCTGGCCAACCTCTTGTTTCACAGATTCAATCTGATGGGAAAAATGAAAAGGAACAGCTGTATTGCAAGCACACACAATCACAGAAGCATGAGTGCTTCCCTCCCAGAGAGGGATCCAAGATGACATGTAGCTGATGCAGGATGGAGGAAGAGCTTCCATCTGGATAGTAGGGCAGGAAGGCTACAGACAGGAGGAAAAAGGAAAAAGCATGTTTGTACCAGTTTTACTGCCAGCTGTAGTCGTGAGAGAGTATCCTGGGTGCTTTGCTTAATGCACTGGAGTTTGTTCAGTGAGTGCTGGTAGGCTCGGTGGCGGACTTTGTTAGAGAGGGAGCCCAGACGCACAAAGTAACTCCGTTGCTGTTTCTGCTCCTCTACAGAAGCCATACCAGATCCCTCGACAGTGGTGGCCAGTTTACCTGGAGGAAACAAGAACAGAGATGCAGCTGTGCTCCGCTCCCCTGGCTGTAAGTGGAAGGAAGAGGTAAGATCACCCATTGGAAAACATGAAGGCTGAAGCTTGCTGTGTAAGCAGTAGAGGTTTGTAGTTGCTCAGATATTAAAAGGTAGGCTAGTCTCTGCTCAGCATGTTCTCTTCAGATAAGCAGACTCGACAGATAGGTTGAAGTACGCACCCACGTGTTTATTTGCCTTGAGGCTGATGGGCAAGGACCAGCTAGCAAATGCTTGAACTCTGTCCCATACCATGTGGCAAGTCAGTGTTGACAGCCAGCCAGCTTGGTGACAAATTCAGAGCTACCTGTCTACTTCAGAAGATGAGTCTTGCAGTGTCAGGTGCTCTCTAGTCATATGGAAAGGGATTTGCATTTACAACTGCCAGCTGAGCATTTTCTTACCTAGTTCCTCCTCTGTCATTGGGAGGTAGTGATCCACCAGATCTTCTGATATACCCAGGACAGATTCCACACCACCTGCCACTGCTTGGCTCACAGCCTTGGCTTTTCTTATGCTGTTGGTCACCACTGAATTAGTCATCTCCACACCCCCCTGGATAGCCTCTCTGCTCTGCTCCAAGGCTGTATTTATTTTGCTAGTTATGGTGCCATATGCAGCATCCAGAGCTGTATTGACTGTAGAAGTGACCATCGATTTGGTCTTCTCAACACCATCCTGAACAGCTCCTTTGGTTAGGTCCACTGCTTCAGTCACTGTGTTGGTCACAAGATCCTTTGCACCCTGGGCAGCCCCTACAGCAGCAGTAATAGTAGAAGCAACTGCAGACTTGGTCAGTTCAACACTGTCCTCCACAATGTGTTTAGTGAGATCCACAGCTTCTGTCACCTTGTTAGTCACAAGGTCCTTGGCACCCTGGGCAGCCCCTACAGCAGCAGTAATAGTAGAAGCAACTGCAGACTTGGTCAGTTCAACACTGTCCTCCACAATGTGTTTAGTGAGATCCACAGCTTCTGTCACCTTGTTAGTCACAAGGTCCTTGGCACCCTGGGCAGCCCCTACAGCAGCAGTAATAGTAGAAGCAACTGCAGACTTGGTCAGTTCAACACTGTCCTCTACAATGTGTTTACTGAGGTCCACAGCCTCAGTCACCTTGTTAGTCATCAGGTCCTTGGCACCTTGGGCAGCCTCCACAGCATTCACAACAGTAGAAGCAACTGCAGACTTGGTCAGTCCAATGCTGTCCTCCACCATGTGTTTAGTGAGGTCCACTGCCTCTGTCACCTTGTTGGTCACAAGGTCCTTTGCACCATGAGCAGCCTCCACAGCACTGTTAACAGTGGAGGTGACCATTGACCTAGTCAGCTTGACACTGTCCCCAACAACATTTTTAGTTATGTCCACAGCTTCAGTCACTTTATCAGCCACTGCTTCTTTTGCCTCACAGGCAGCATCCATAGCGCATGTCACTTTGGTGGAAACCAGCTGCTTGGTGTCTGAGATGACCTGCAATTGGGAGAGGCAGAGAAAGATACATTTTTTTCTGAAATGGGTTTTCCCTTCCTGAAGTAGCTTTTCCATATGGCTAAATTGTGCTTGTAGTCTTGTGGGAGTGCTGGGAAAATCAGTACACCTGTATTTACATGGAAATGTTCACTTACACATGCTTAAGGCTTTTTTCCATCTTTCATCATCTAACAGTGCCTCCTTTAGCCCATTCCAGGGACTGACCTGACCAAGCAATGCTGCTGAAGTTTATTTCCCCATATTCTTCTGTACCCATAACAGTTCCACCAAACAAGAGATTAAGTTATGGCTTCCCCAGAAAAAGCCTTTACCTTATCTGCTGGCTGTTGAAGAAAAGGCAAGTTCTCCTCCAGCTGATCCAGTCCTTTACAGGCATATTCATTCACAAGTGCAACTAGACAAGGCAACAGGTACCAGTTTATTTTTCAATTTGGAGGGGGGTTTTTGACCCTACAATGGCCAATTCAGGATAAGCTCATGAAAGCAAGCCCCCCAAAGTCACTCTTCTGGGGTGGTGTTTGTGTGTAGGGTCTCTTGTTAAAGTGAACAAACCTTACTATTTGACAGATTCAAATAGTCTGCATTTTGCTTTCCCAGCTTTCTAGCTATTGGCAGCACATTGCTCCAAGAGGAGTGTAATACTTGCCCCTGGTGGGTAGGGCTGTTAGTTGAAAAGGGTTGAAAAGTGATGGGATGAGGCAGACTGAGCTATATCCAAGATGGACACTGCTACTACCAGTTGGGATGCTCATAACGGAGTGATAGAGAAAAGCAGGGAGTTTTTGCTTAGTGACTTAAACCACAGACAAGAGGCCAAACTTTGCTTCTGCCAGTAACAGTTTCATGTGCATGAAATTCAATGGGTTCACCGAGCAGCTAGGAGCAGCTGAGTGGAAGACTCAGTGCTACAACTAACTAGGGTGATGTGCTATAGGACACATCACCCAACAGGCCCACAAAACTCCCCTCCCCACCTATTCTCTCCAGCCTCTTCACTTACTTTGTGGCTCAAGTTGGTTCAGAATGGGCTGTGCCCCACCAACTACACTACCTACTGCGACAGCAGCCACAGTCTCAGCCACATTGCAGACACCACTGAGGTAAGGATGCGTCTCCTTGGTATAGTTGTAGGCAGATGAGACCATGTTGAATGCAGAGTTGAGCAAGGGCAAGCTGGTTACTCGATTCATAGCGCTCTAAAACCCAAGAGAAATAAGTGACATTAGAGGCCCAGCCTCAAGCTGGGGAGTGAATACAAGCCATGTGTCTATCCAGAAAGGTCCTAAGGGGACATCCCATCCATCTCCTCATCCTTCTTAAATTCAGAGTTGAAGAGACTCAGCCAAAGACCCTAGCAAGTGAGCAAGAAGCCAGGATTAAAAGTTCAAGCTCTGAGATCATCAATTCTGAGTCACACTGGGTTTCAGCACCAAACCCAGATGTGGAAATAGGACCTGTAACAGCTCAGGTTTCAGAATTACTTGTGATACTTGAGCCAGTCCTGAAGTTTTTTCTTGAGCAAAAATATTTAGCTTCTGTGTTAACAGAGTAGATTTAGTCACAGCTTCATATGGTTAATCTTTCTGCTACTCCCAGCCTAGTTTTGAGGTGCTTACAGAAGTTGGTTTATCAGCATCTCTCAACAGGTAGTTGCATGTTAGAGTACTAGCTGCCCTGGCACCTACCACTTGCTGCTGTTCCTCAGCCTTTAGCACATCTTTTTCTGTGGGCTTTTCTGATGCCATCCTGAATTCAACTGCAGCTGAAAGGAAAAACAAAAGTGTAACAGCATGAGTACAACTTAATTTCCTCCAGTGAATTAAAGTCTTAGAAAAACTAGTGAAAAGCAGAGGGCAAAGTTGGGATCCATCATTCAGCATGTCCTAGGAACATTAGTGTGGCATCACTAATTTTTTGTAAGGGTGTAAAGGTATTTGAGAGGCTCCATGATTTGTGATATGCAAATATTCATGTAGGACAAGGACGGTACTTGGTCACTTCCCTCAATCCCCAAACAGCCAAATACTTTAAACTAAATAACCATCCTACTTATTTTATTGATGACAACATTTCACTGGTGATAAAGCTGCAGGTTAGAAACAAGTGAGAACAATCTTGTACATCATACATTTTCTCTGCTAGAGATACTTCTGGTTCAGCTTCCCACTGCCATGCTCTTGGCTGGCCAAAAACTGGAATGCTTGAAGGAAAGATCCTGACAGATTGCTGTCCTCCTAACAAGCCCTGCCAAAATGCAGCTGCAGCAGGGCTTGTTAGGACAGTAGTATAAGTAATCTTTTAGTTTTAATTTTCAAATGTGGTAAGCTCAGTTTAATAATGGCATTTAAAACCAGAAATATTTATTTTGAAAAATGTCTGAACTTGCTTAATACACTTTAAGAGTGAAAGCCCTCAGATTCCCCCCACTTTGAAGTAGAGATGGGTTTTGCAGTGGCTTAATCCATTTGCCTCTTGGGGAAGAAAAAAAAAAAGACTGGCAGGACTTCAGCTCCTCTCCAGAAAGGGGTCAGAGCCAGAGGGTGAACAGGGATGCTGAAAAAGCAATAGGCATATTTTACTGTCTTAAAAAGTGTTCAGTGTTCATAGCCTCTTTCCTCTGACGGCTCACTCTGGAGTATCCTTTGCAAAGGACATTGAGATGAGAGTCATTTTAGAGTCATCCCACTATGCCTGTGTTCATAGTGGGAAACTTTTATCAACTTTCCCACCACTGCCAACTCCAGCAACACTGGCAGTCTCACAGCTCTGGGAAGGATATGAAAATCCTTCAAAGTTTTCCTAGAAGAGTGAGCCAGGTTTTGCAGCTGTAGCATTCCAGCTGTCTACCTCGAAACTTGCGTTCCCATCCTACTGACCAGCGAGGCAGGAGATCTCTCCTCACTTCCTGTGAAACCAAATCTCAGCAGTATTCTCATTACATAATGGGATTAAAGAAGTATAAAAATAATGCAACATCTTGAACACGTATTGGCTTCCCCAGCATAGACCTAGGTTGGTATCTGGACACTCCAGTATCATGCGATAAATCCAGGATTACTTCTCAGCCTTAGTCAGGCACAGCAGGGGTTTCAGCATTTGTTCTTCAGTGCAGCATCTGCTTTTCTCTCCCTTGCCAGTTAATTCCTATTCTTAGAATTGCTATGGCATTTTCCAATGGAAAACCCCCAAACCAAGATTCCTCACAAACTGGATTCCCAAGCCAAGCACTGCTCCAGGCTCACTGGCAGGCTCTACCCAAAAAACCCCTTGCCATCTGATTTGTGACAGAGACCATTGTCTTTTTTCTTGTGTTCTTTAACTTGGGTAAGGTTTTTATTTTGCTGTGGAAACAGGAACAGAGAGCTGGGGAAGAAGTAGCAAAACAAGCATTTATTAGCCCTGGACTAACTATGGCTAGAGCTAGGGGGGACATCTTGGGCGGTAACTTGGCAGGATGTCAAATATTGCTGCATTAACTGTGCAATTAGTCAGCATTTTAGTGAGATTCAAGCAAGGCAGGGATGCAGAGTGCTGCATGTCTACAGCAGAAGTTGCCACAAGAGTTGGGACCTCCAGCTCCTCAAGTGAGAAGCCAGGAGCCAGCACGCTTCTGCATGTTCCTAGTAACCACCCTGTCCGGGGGCTGCTAATTGAACAGCACAGCATAAATACAGCTTGAACTTTATCAGTCTGGGAGAACTTCTGGAAAACTGCTCCAAACAAAAACAGGGCTTGAACATAAAAATCTCAGTCCCAAAGTCCACATGGTTTCCTCAGTGGTTATTCCTCTTACACTGTTTTAGGGCAAGCTTGTTGGGTTTTTTTGAATCCAGGTAGAATGAATCAGCCCACAGCCCTGTCACAGGGCAAAGCACAACTATTTCAACACCATTACAAACAACGCCTTTGCTCAGTTATTTTACTTCTAGATGTGTGGGAAAAACTCCAGCTGCAGAGCATCTTACTGACCATGGTGTCAGGATTAGCATGCAGAGTCACTGCACCAAAAAAGAAGAAAGGACTCTAGTTGCTACCATAAGTCAGGAGTAACTCCTTGGCAGATGTAAAAACTAGTATAAGGTTAGAATCAACCTCTGAAGTACTAGGAGCTCATCTTAATTATGGACGCAAGTGTGTCAGTGACAATCCTTGCAGCACAGTCTTGTTACAACACAGTTTGCTCTCCTCTGTGTAGGAGGAATTAGGGTGTGTTGCAACACCAGTATTTGTGGTGTGGGCAAGTCTTCATGAGCCTGCAGCATGGTTTTATTTTCTCTTTCTAGTCTCTCCCCTGCAAAAATGCTGAGCAGATTGTGTTTTACTTCAGAGGCTGCAGGAAAGCACAGTGCTTAGCAACTCTGGGTCAGTTGTTTCAGAATCCTTTGGAGAAAGGCATAGCTTCAAGCCAGCGTAGTTGCAAGTGGGAGTCCCAGCAGGCAGACCCCATGAGGGGAAACCACCAGGCAGAGGAACGAAACAGCATCACTGTTGGCCTTGGTTACATTTTGCTTTGTATGAAAATGATCAGATGATTTCATGCCATTGCTACATCAGAAATTAGGTCACTGCTGGAGAAAGTTCTTGAAACAGGTAGTTTCAGAAAGATGAATCTCTTCAGCGGATGTTTCTAGCATGACAAATAGCTTAACTGCTGATCATCACCCTGTTTGGCACAAGTCTGAACTCAGTGAAACAGCAAGAGCAATGGCACTAAAACTGCCAAGCTGCTGTCTGTTTTCCCTACCTCAGTCGGACTCTCACAGCCCGTGCAACATGCTAGCCTGGCAGAAGAGCAAGTACTTTCCTGCTGGGGTGAGCACCTCCCCTGATTTCTGTCACTCTGACAGTCACCAGCATACATAAAGCTAGTTCTTTAACTTGTGTAAGGTTTTTATTTTTCCAGTGGAAAGCAGCTCTGCCCCATGAAGACAGCCAGCTGTTAGGCTCTCCTGTGGACAGAGGGGTACAATCTTCTTTGAGAAGCTTTTCTCCCCTCCAAACATGTTTTATCTTGGGAAGACAGATTGAGCCATAGATAGCAAGCCTGGTTCAATAGCTTAACTGGAAATTCCTTAATGACCATTTAGGAAAACAAAGCTAAATTTAGTGCTTAGATATGAGCAGGGAGGGCTAATCAGGACAGAGGTATTAGTTTGTGGTTAAAGCACTTACACTCTTTCAGATTTGCCACCAATACCCCAGTTATCATAAATGCAGTCGCAGAACTGGGTCACAGGATGTCTGCCACAACAGGGAGCGGCACTGCCCGCAGAGGGAGTTGTGTGTAAATGCTCCGAGGGTAGAGTTAGTTTTGGGAGGAGGATCAGATGATTTTCAGCTTTGACCTTAGGACGTTAGTTTCAGAATTGCTGGCAGAGGTACCCATCTCACCTTTCTGGAAAAGCCATCAGCATTAGGGAACCTCAAAGATTAAAGCCACTTTTGCAGGTGGAGGCAGGGGTTTCCCCTCCACACTTCCAATGGAAATTAAGCACCACAGCCAGTGGCCATTACTGGCTCAGTAACTCCTTAGGACAGTGAGTATAAATGATCTAAGCTACTAGAGTGTGAAGATATTTCACAGAAGAGGGGAGGGAGTTTAAAACAGCTTCTCAGCTTTCCAGTACTTCCCATTTGCCACTTTTTCCATGAGGACAAAACTCTCAGTTTCAGACGGAAGCTGTAACTTGCTGTTGCTGTTTGCTCTTTAACACGCATTTTCATCTGGAAGTTTCAGCAGAACCAGCTTCAGTAATTGAAGTCCTTCACAGCCATACACAGTTTCGGGTAGTCACAACCACATTTAAGAACCCTGTTAGTCTTAAGAAACACCAAGCTAGTTTGCTGAGTGCTCCCTCCAGCAAGCTGGCAGAGCCGTGCACAGCTACAGGCTCCATCTGCAGAGACACAGTGCTTTTGAGCAAGAAAGAAGTTAACTCATCATTCAAGCCACCCCCTTCGTTAACACTATTATCATGTCTAAGCCAAGTGATCATGTGAAATAGCTACAGGCAGGTCTGGCAGGACTGTCAACAGGAAGGGGATGCCCAACTCATCTGTCTGCCTCCTGAGGCACCCACTTCCCTCAACATCAACACAAGTCAGCAGTGATGTCCAGGGTGCACATCACATGCTCTCCCTGCATGGCTGGGTGGGAAAGCCACCTCCTGTGGACCTCCTCATACAGCTT